TACCACGGCCTCCACCAGACTGAGTCCAGTACAGCTAGATGGTGCCCAGCTACCACCACTGACTGCTCTGACCGGGATCACAACAGAGGGTTCTGGACAGAGCTGGAGAAGGATATAGAACAAAATTCTAACACACACAAAAAGACTAGATTTACTGGCCTGACAGAGACTGGAGAAACCCCGAGAGTATGGCCCCCGGGCACCCTTTTAGCTCAGTGGTGAAGTCACTCCCAAGGTTCACTGTTCAGCGGGGCATTGGACAGCCCCATAAAACAAAATGGGACTAATGAGGCACAGCAGTCCAGGGACAAGGACTAGAAGGCAGAAGGGGACAGGAAAGCCGGTGGTAGGGAACGCAAGGTTGAGTAAGGACAGTGCTGACATGTCGTGGGGTTGTTAACCATTGTCATAGGGCAACATGTGTACTAACTGTTCAATGAGAAACTATTTTGTTCCGTAAACCTTCATCTAAAATGAGAATAGCAGCACAACTGGAAGAACGTAATCAACGTCACTGAATTGTACATGTAGAAATTTTTGAAATGGTATACCTTTGGCTGTGTATATTTTTACCAAAAAAAAAAAAAAGGTCCTCCAAGGTCGAGAAGGGAGCGTGTTGACGTGTCGTGGGGTTGTTAACCAATGTCATAAAACAATATGTGTACTGACTGTTTACTGAGAAAATCCTTGTTCTGTAAACCTTCACCTAAAGTACAATAAAAAAAAAAAAAAAATCTTTTCAAAAAAAGAATCCAAGAAACTAGGGGTTGGTCTACTTGACCAAACAAACGTCAGCCAGGTAAAATCCCTTAAGCCTCATTCAAGACAGCATGAGCAGGTCACTACGTGCTTGTCTTACTTTCATTCTTCATCTTATCAAAATAAGACAGTTTGGAGGCAGCGCAGATGGCATTGGAGGACTGCAGTGTGCCGACCACGGCGTCCATCAGCAGCACGGTGGTCAGCGCCTGCTGGATGTACTGCGGGTCCTGAGGGAGAAGCAAAGGGATTTCAACCAACACAACTCCCTAAAATCACTCACTTATAAACTTTATCACACTGCACAAAACAATACTTTCAAAGATCAGTTTTCTCAAAACCACACGAAGAGTTTACCTGAATGATAAATTTGGATTTGATGTCACATACTTTTTCTTCTCTATCTAATACTAATCATTTATCCCAGGGGTCAGCAAGCTTTCTCTGTAACAGCCAGGCAGTAGATAGGCTTGGGGGCCACGTGGTCTCTGCTGCAGCTATTCGAGTCTGCTGTTGTAGCATGAAAGCAGTTGTAGACATCATACAAACAGTCACGGCTGTGTTCCAATAAAACTTTATTTACAAAAGCTGCCCATTGGCCCACGGGCCTTGGTTTGGCTACAACAATTTACACTAAATAAACTGAAAGGTCTCTGGGCAGTATGACCAAACGGCTAGCCCTCAGGTTACAGAATGCTGGACTGACTCTTAGAAAGGACCTAGTCCCATCTCCCACTCCCATATTCCTGACCTTGAACCTCTCCAATTATTGGGATGTGCCATCATAAACAGCAGCAACTCTGCCCCTGGACAGTCTGTTCTTTCTCATATCTGCCAAGGGGACAGGTGTTGACTTCACCTGCATTTCTGATTATTAGCGGGGCTGATGATAATCACCATCCTCACCCCTCTGTGAGGTGCCTGCCCTTAGTCTTTGCCCATCCTTCTGAGGGGGCTCCTGGCTTACTCTGCCATTCAGACAGTGCATGTCCCCCTCTGTTACTTTGTCTGTTGACTATGAAATCTGAACTTGCTGAGTCAAAGCTGTCAGCGTGGCCCAAAGTAAACTACAGTGTGCAAATCGCCAGGATAGAACATCCCACGGTAGCAGGAATCCAGCCCTGCCCTCCACCATAGCTCTCATCCTGTGAAGTTAGAGAGGAAAGAGTCACTCAGAGGTGTGCCTGAAATGCCCAAAGCACACCTGTCAGATGGACAGTCAACCTGCCCAGCTCCTGTCCTCCACTCCCCGGATGTCAGACAAGGGGAGAGGTAAGGCGGGGAGCGGCCCACGGCTCCCCCACACCGCTCTCTTGCCTCTGAGCTTGCTCTTCACGGCATGCCAAAGGCCACAGGCCTCTCTCAGGGACACACAACCACACCTCAACGCCTGTGAGGAGACCAACGCTAACTCTACTTACAGGCCCACGTCCGAGGTCCTCTGAGTTTTAACCACTTTGTTACTGCTGTATTATTATTATAAGGACACATGCATAATAAGACAAGCCTTGAGATACCATAAAAAAAAAGCAAAGCCACCACCAGTTCTCGGACCTTGTGGTCGTCCGCCAGCTTCTTCCCGGCCCACATCTCCTTCACCATCAGGTGCCAAAGGTCACACTCGCTTTTAAGGTTGGCCTCAAAGACTTCCTTTTTGGACACCATTTTGATTTTTAAAGTGGGAATTCTCAAGAGCAGAAAGACTGCGGTGGTATTTCTGACTTCCTAGAGAGCAGAAAGAGAGAGTAAGGCTGAGTCATGTCACACACAAAAACATCTGTACTCATCAGAGCAAAAGGCAAAGGAGGATCTGAGACTAAAGAGGAATTCATCAGCACACGTGAAAGGCAGGCTCTCCCGAGGGGGGTCTCAGACTTCACGGCCAGAAGGGTAGAAGCGTCCGGAAGGAGACAGAAGGGTCCGGAAGGGGCCACTCGGGCTCACGTCCTAACGCAGAGGTGAAGAAAGGTGGGGGCCTGCTGCAGAGGGTCTAGACAAGAGCCCCTGGGACCAGCCCAGAGCTGGGCAGTCAGGGTGAGGGAGTGAGGACAGAGCAGTCCGCATCCCTCAGGCCAGGGCTGGTCCCCCAGGAGGAGAGGCCCAGAGTGAAGAAAGTGACCTCTCTTCAGAAGTGGGTTAAAGCCGAGCAGGGTTGCAGCCAGGTGCCTCGGAGCCACGGGGGAGCCCTGGGGGCTGGGAGCGTGACCTGTGAGTGACCCATCAACAGACCCACCCGGTGGATTCTTCCAGTGTTAAGATGGCTTATCTTTCACATCCTGAAATATTCCTCTTTCTTCGGAATTCCAGGAAGAAGTCTGACAGAGCAGGCATGGGAACCAAACTGAGGGGCGTGGAGGGAGAGGGTCGCTGGTCTGGCACTAACCCCGGGTCGCAACTATGGCTTCAGCCCTGTCCTGTGTCCATGAGCGTTCAGCTGATGATTATACAAAACCCTAGCGTTTATCTATCATGCCTCGTATATTCCCCTTTAATTTGGGAAAATACATGTAAGGTATAAGGTGAATCAGGATCAGAATTCAGATTTCCCCAATGGGGGAAATGACTACCTTTAAAATATGTTGTTATTGGTGTTGGGTGGTGTCGAGTCAATTTTGATTCCGAGGGACCCCATGTGACAGAGTAGAACTGCCCCCACAGGGTTTCCTAGGCTGTAATTGTTATGTGAGCAGATGGTCAGGCCTTTTCTACCAAGGAGCGGCTGGTGGGTTCAAACCTCCAACCTTTTGGTTAGCAGCCAAGAGCTTTAACCACTTTGCCACCAGGCTCCCTGGAGGAGGACATCATGCTCGGTAAGGTAGGGGGTCAGCGGAAAAGAGGAAGACCCTCAATGAGATGGACTGACACAGTGGCTGCAACAATGGGCTCATGCATGACGATTGTGAGGATGGCGCAGGACCAGGCAGTGTTTTGTTCTGTTGTCCATGGGGTTGCTATGAGTTGGAAATGACCTGATGGCACCTAATGACAACAATTAATTAAATAGCTCATTAATAGGTACTAAAAATGCTATGAAATAAACCACCCGGGCCAGCTGGCAAAGTCAGAGAACATACAACAGAGCACCTTGCCGTCACGGGCACGCGGCGGCTTCTCCGTAAGTGGTTCACGGGCGAGCCAGCTTCTCCCGTGTCCTCTCACTGGAAGGTCAGGAGCAGAACCTGTCTGCTTTGTTCTGTTTCTCCCCTCCCCCAAGCAAGGCGCCTGGGTTAGAGAACCAGTTAGAGGGGGACACGTGGGCCACTAGACGCTTCACGTTCATCAGTGTATTCAACCCTCACAACAACCCCGTGAGGAAGGGACTAACATCCCCATTCCACAGATGAGGAAACTGAGGCATGGGAAGGTAAGTGCCTCGTGGAGGGTCCACAGCTGGAAGAGTCCAGGTGGTCTGCTCCGGCTGCCCTCCCTCCTAAAGTCAGGCAAGTTCCGGAGCCGGCTGCCTGTGGCGCCCTCACCTCGATGTTTCTGAAGGTGGAGATCTCCACGTAGCCAGGTCTCCCTTCTGTGAGAAGGAACAGACGCTTCTGGGTCATGGCGATCTTGCCGACGCCGTGGGTGGTCTTGACGGAGCTCGAAAGCTTGTAGACACACTCGTTTTTGTCCAGACGCTCCATCACCGGCGACGGCAAGCTGACATCCTGTGCCTCGGCCTCCGCCTCCTTCCAGCAGTTGTAAAAGTCCCTGAATGTTTCCGGGTCGATCTGTTTCTGGTGCCCTTGGTTTTGTAAGAAGATAAGAGAGGTATTTTATAACCGTGTTCACAAGCTGTGCTTCAAGGGCTTTGGCTTACCTTAAAAAACCGTAGGTTACCCGGGCAAGGCAGTGGAGAATCTACCTGGAGCTAAGATACCTAGGAGGTCGTTTGTACGTGGTCTTCCCCAGCATTCCTGCTCCCCAGTGCCCTGGGTGTCCAAGTTGGGGCACACGATCATGGCTGAGCCCATCAGCCCTTTCTAGCCCCTGACCCCAGTGATGGCCATGTGACCTAGGCCAGGTAGTCACAGTAACTCTTAACACTTCCAATGGGAACACAGAGACAAGGACACTCTTTTCCATTGGAGGCAAGCCAAGACATCTGTCACCACTGGAAAGGGGCAGACCACAGGCAGCTAGTCCTAGGATGAAGCTAAAGCTGAAGAAACTAGATCCTTGATGCAGCGCCGAGCCACTGATCAAGCCTTGCCTGAAGCTGCTTCTACCTCTGTTCTAGTCAGTTATGTGAGAAAATAGAGTACTTTCATTATTTGCAACCAAGATCATTTTAATTGGTGGAACAACCACATGTCCAATATTCGCGGGCTTTGGAGTGAGAGAGAGGCGCAAGTATGAAGCCCAGGTCCATGCTCTTCAGCTGTGTGAGTCCAGGCAAACTGCTGGACAAGCCTGTTTCCTCGTCTGTGAGATGGAGACAGTTCCGCGCCTCCATTCCTGCTCCGTGTCACCAAGCCCTGCCGATTCTCACTGCTTAGCACGTCGCTACATCTGCCCTTCTCCCCGACGCCTCCTGCTGAGCTCGGCTCTGCCTCCTTCGTGTGGCCTGAACCTGTCTGTCGTTCTGTCCTTTGTCGTGCTGAGGGCCCATCCACTCCTACAGGAAGGGGCTCCCAAGCGGCCCTGCCTTCACAGCTGCCCAGCCTGCATCACTCTGGGCCCAGAATGACTTTTCTAAAATGCAAGCAGTGTCTACTCCTCCCTCCTTCAAACACATCAGGGCTCCACATCCATGCCCGCCCCAAATCCCCCAGGCCTGGGCCCCTGCGATCCCCTCACCCTCCTCTTCACACCCCAGTACCCGTCAGACCAAGTCGGCTCCTGCAGTGAACTACTGTATGGCCCTTCCAGCCATGGTCTCATAACTCCCACAAAATGATTGACTGGGACTATGCAAATAAGGTGCTTGTGGCCCACCAAGGGCATTGGACAATCTGCTAATGCAAATAAGGTGCACGGAACCCTTGTGGGGGTGGGACCAGGCAAATAAGGTGTAAAAACCTAACCTGTTGCCATTGAGTCCATTTTGACTCATAACAACCCTAGAAGACAGAACTGCCCCATAGGGTTTCCAAGGAGCAGCTGGAAGATTCGAACTGCTGACCACTTGGTCACCACTGCGTCTCCAGGGCTCCAAATAAGGTTTATGGAACCCTAAAGAGGGGATTAGTCAATTTTGCCACCCTGCTAGGCTTAAAATGAGCCAATCCCAGAGGTTGAAGGCAGGGGCCTCACTACATCAGTAAGAAGAGCCAGGAGTGAAGTGTGTCCTTTGGACCCAGGGTCCCTGCACTGAGAACCTCCTAGACCCAGGAGCTGGAAAGAAGCAGCTGTAACACTGGAGACAGTATGACACGGCGTGGCAACAGCGAGAAGTGGCAGCAAGCACGGCAGAGTCCACTGGAAGAGAAACGGCGGCAGCAGAACCAGGAGACCAGTGCAAGACGGCACAGTGGGCTTCCTGGTCCATGGAGCAAGGCGGCTGCAGTGGGCACGCTGACCCATGGAGTGAGAGAGCTGAGCGCCTTCAGGCAAGCGGCTTCCTGCAGAGTGGGGTGCCTCCAGGCATTTATCAGCAGGCTAAAGGGCTTTGTAAGACTTGCCTGAGTAGGGCAGAGGCCAGGCCAAAGCAAGGGCTAAGAGCTGAGAGCTGAGAGAAGGGGCGAGGGCTGAGGGCTGAGAAAGAGGCCTGCCTGCGGGCACGGCCAAGAAGAAGCTGTCCTGATTGAAGAACTGTATCCTGAGTTGTTCCTGTTACTTCCAAGTTAATCTTGATCCTGAGTTGTAACCTGTTACTTCCATAGTAGACCCCATAATTGTGAGTGTGGTCTGTGAGTTCCGTGTGGCCACTGCAATGAATTATCGAACTCAGCAGAGAAGTACAGCATGCCATGGGAGGGAGGGCTGGTGTCAGAACTGGTAAGGAGGCTGGAGAAAGGAGGCATATTAGACCTCACTTCATAGGCATCAGCCTTGGGCTGATGCTGACTCTCATTATCCCCTCTGAAGTCAGACAGGTTCTGATGCTACCACTACCATCATACAGCTACTGAACAGGTCAGAAAAGGAGCCTGGTGGTACAGTGGTTACAGTGCTCGGCTGCTAACCGAAAGGTCAGCGATTCAAACTCACTAGCCGTTCCACAGGAGAAAGATGTGGCAGTCTACTTCTGTAAAAATTACGGCCTTGGAAACCCTATGGGGCAGTCCTACTCTGTCCTATAGGGTCGCTATGGGTCAAAATCAACTCCACGGCAACAGGTTTTGGTTTAAACAAGCAATGTTGTCGCATGCCTCTGCACACGCCCATCCTGACTGCTCAGACCAGAAAACTCTTACTCATCCTTCAAAGCCCCAGGTGGAACACCTCCACATGCAGCCTTCCCTGACAGGTCATCCTGTGCCAGGCAGCCACTGTGCTACACACATGCTTCCACCGTAGAACTACCACGTTTCACAACACTGCTCCATACCAAGAACCCTGACGGACACACCATACACAGAGCCACATTTAATCCCCACACCCACCTTGGGACGTATGCACTATTACGAGGCTCAGGCACAAACCGGAAAACTGAGGCACAGAGAGGCAAGCACCCTGCTGAGAGGCCAGTAAGTGGCAGAGCGGGCCCTGGGGCCAGGCAGACGCCCCGACCCGGCCCCGGAGCTGCTGTGTGTTCACGTGTCTGCCCCACTCCAGGAGGGCAAGAAGTGTGTCGTCATTGTCTCTGCCTGGCCAGGATTGGAAACGGCCAAAAGGCATGGCCCCAGCGTGGCTATCTCCCCACTCTGGTCTCCATAACAGGGGCCGACACCGACAGTTATCCAGGAATCTGATATCACAGCCACACTTCTACTACTTGCAACAGCCAAGCGGTCACTGCAGCAATCTGTTAGGGGACGGCCACGTGAAGGTGGTCGGTGCCCTAACAGGCTCAGGAGAAAGGCATTTCTTAACTTTTACACGTGGGTTCTAAATAAGAAGCACTGCTGATGTTGTTGGACTGAAGGTAAACTAAAGGAAAGTCAGGCTTTGCGATCACCACCAGCTTCCCCCGTCCCAGCAACGCACAGATGCCGAATGTTTACATCAAAATCTCCACCAGGTGGCGGGATTGGGAGTTACTTGTTTTTCTTTTCGGGTATCTCTGTTTCCTTGTTGGAAACCCTGGTGGTGCAGTGGTTAAGAGCTACAGCTGCTAACCAAGAGGTCAGCAGCTCAAATCCACCAGGTGCCCCTTGGAAACCCTATAGGGCACTTGTACTCTATCCTTTAGGGTCGCTATGAGTCGGAATCGACTCGACAGCAACAAGTTTGGATTTTTGGTTTATTTCCTTATTTGTTTACAATGATTATACAAAAAAAAGAAAAAGGTTGCCGTCAAGTCAATTCCAACTCATAGCAACCCTATAGGACAGAGTAGAACTGCCCCACAGGGTTCCAAGGAGCGGCTGGTGGATTTGAACTGACGACCTTTTGGTTAGCAGCTGTAGCTCTTAACCACTGCACCACCAGGGCTCATATACTATGTAAATATTTTGCAGAAACCTAAGTCACTGTATTCACAGAGAAGAAACGCACAATACGTGTATAACAATAAACGCACACTTGTGAAACACCTGTTGGACTCAGATGTGCCAACGATGATGAGGATGGCTCAGGACTGAGCACCATCTCGATCTGTCATACACAAGGCCGCCACGAGTCGGGGCCGACTCGGCGGGAACTAACAACAAACACACACTTGTGCAATTTTTTAAAAATAAGTCAGTGAAGAAGACAAAGGATGAGGGTGGCTGGGTGCGCGCAGGTGGGTGGTACCTGGTGACCCCGGGAAGGCCGGTCTTTGGGGTCCCCTGTGCCCAAGCAGCAGAGGGCATCAGCTCCCTGTCAGCCTCATACAATCGCTCACCCCGCCATCTTCCACTTGAGAAATGCCATTCAGGGCGGCGCTCTGGTTCCGGGCACCTGGTCTACACTTCCTGACGGTTTACAGTGATTGCGTTTTAATCAGAAACGTTTGTCATCTTAACTGAATGCCACATAGCACGCTGCTTCGCTAAACAGCCGAGCAAGGGAAGGCCCAGGAAATGAGAATGCAGGAGAGGCAAATGGGGGGGAACTGCAAAGCTATGGCTTACTAAACATTAGCATCCACAGAGCTTCTGAGGACAAGCCTGAGTGAGTCCTGTCCCATCTCCTCCCAGAACAACTCCTCTCACTTTGAGGCCACACAGGGTCCCTGCAGAGCCACCAAGGGCAGAGTGTGTATCCGAGAACCTGCAATACCGCCTCTCACCAACAGAGGGCGGCGTGGGGCCACACATGACAGGATGACTCTGGTGTCTGGGAGCTGGGCTCAAGACCCCAGAGCGCCCTCAGGGAAACAGCACAGACCAAGGAGACCCGTTAAACGCAGGGGCAGCACCCACCCGACTCACCTGTGAGCCTATGGGCATTACACCACCAGGGCTCCAAAGAGATCGGAGGATGCACCCCTGTGGCTACATGCACACCCAGGGTGACCTCACACACCCAGGACCCCGCACACACCCAGGACCCCGCACACACCCAGGACCACGCACACACCCAGGATCACGCAGACACAGGGACCATACATGTATACCCGAGACCACACACGTATACCCAGGACCATGTGCACCCCTGTGGCTACACGCACACCCAGGGTGACCTCACGCACCCAGGACCACGCACACACCCAGGACCCCGCACGCACCCAGGACCACGCACACACCCAGGATCACGCAGACACAGGGACCACACATGTATACCCAAGACCACACACGTATACCCAGGACCATGTGCACCCCTGTGGCTACACGCACACCCAGGGTGACCTCACGCACCCAGGACCACACACACACTCAGGATCATGAATGTATGCCCATGGCCATGCGCACACCCACAGCCACACGTACAACCACGTGCACACCCAGGGCCACATGCACACCTGGGACCATGCACACCCACAGCTACATGTACAAACCACAAGCACACACCCGGGACCACGCACACACGCAGGATCATGCACTCCCACAGCCACGTGTACAACCACGCACATACCTGGGATCACATATGTATACCTAGGGCCACACACACACTCACAGACACACGTAAAACCACCACATGCACACCCAGGACGATGCACTCCCCCGGGACCACACACACACACCCAGGATCATGCATGTATACCCAGGGCCACGTGCACACTCACGGCCACACATATAACCACATGCACACCCAGGACGATGCACATACCCGTGGCCACACACACACCCAAGTGCTGCCACTCAAGTGCTTTCTACGAGTCCCTCTTGTGTCCCTTCTGCCAGGGCCAGCGGCAACACACACGTCCATGCTCCCCTGACATGCCCACCATTGCCGAGGCGGTGCTGACTGCCCAAGAGGTGCCACCCACGCTGCTGAAGGGGAAGCTGTGTCATCTCATCCCTGTACTTCCAAAGCACAGCACGCAGGGGTGACTGAAGAGAGCTCGGATGACTGGACCGTCTCCAGATCGATCAGAGGCAGCCATGAAAAGCAGTCGATTCCTGTCATTCACGGGAGTCACGTTCCATCAAGTCACCAGAAACTAAGTGAATGAGTGACTATGGAGCCGTCGCTCCGGAGGAAATGCCGGGCTAGGTTCCTGTGAGTCTCCAGTCACAACATTCTTGTCAACTGACCAACACATGACCTAGTCTCACGTGTGTTGTTTAAAGACACATTGTTGAATATACATGGTTGATTCATTAATGCTGAACTCGCATCCAAAAGCACCGACTCACACCTGAACGAAGCTTACCTCACGTGTGTCTTCTCCGTAAAGCTCATCACCGCCTTCTGCCCTTAGAACACCAGGCAGCACTACGCTTGCGGGCCATTTTGAAACAGCGAAACCACCAACAAGGAGCGCCAAAAGGTGGAAAGCGTGGCACTAAATCTTCCACAGAAAGGACACCTGTTTGCCGCACGCGAGCTAAAACAAGAAGGTGGAGTGCTGCCTTGCTCACCCTCAGCGGGGAACGTGCGTGTGGGCTGACTCAGATATGGGGCTGCTCTGAGCACGTCCGCGCCGACCACAAAGGCACTGCCAGTGCTGATTTGGGGATTACACACAGATTTTAGTGAGCAGGTAAATTCGCAAATACAGCATCTGTGACTGATGAGGATCGACTGTTTAAATTATTTCACCACGTAGGAACCTAGACAGTGCATGCATAAACACGCTGCCACATCTGTCCTTCAGGGCTGTGGTGTGATTGATTATTGATTGATTACTTTTGTGTGGCCTTTCTAGCCACGGTCTTGTAACTCTTACCCAGGTGACTGGGTGGGACTGTGTGATAAAATAATCCAAGGGGACTGGTCCATTTTGCCTTAAAAGAGAGCCAATTCCAGAGCAGAGAGGAGAAGCCCACCACCACCAAGGAAGGAGAAACCAGCAGGAGAGACTCAGCAGTGGGAGACACCTCAGTGGGCTTCCCCGCCCACAGAGGGAGAAAGCTGAGGGCCTCTGGGCAGAGGCCGAGCACCAGGGAGAGGCGTGCCTGCGGGCACTGCTGGGGAGAGGCTGTCCGGATGGAAGAACTGTATCCTGAATGTTCCTGAGCCTGAACTGTAACTATTACTTCTCTAATAAACCCCAGAATCGTAAGCATGGTCTGTGAGCTCTGCGTGGCCATTGCAATGAATTATCGAACCCAGTAGAGAGTGCCGTGGGAGGGACGGCTGGTGTCAGAACTGGTAGAGATGACAGAGAGGGGAGGCTTGTGGTCTCCACCTCATGGGAGTCAGCCTTGTGCTTGCTGTTGATCCTGCTTCTCCTTCCCCCTCGTGGGGTTGGAGGAGGTCAGACCCTGCCCCCACATTGTTTCTACAAGGGCGCACAGTCTCTCCTACCTGCTGTCTGGTGTACTGAAGTGACGTGATCACGCCTGGACATCTGGTCCCCTTACCTACGGCCAATGCGTCGAACAGGCGGTGTATGATGTCGGTGTCCTTCACAATCCCCGACTCCTGAACCCTCTTCACGAAGTCATCCAGCTGCAGGTGCTTCTTGGGCAACTCGAAGTTCTTCACGTGATCATCCACCTTGGCCACCTCCCCGGGCTTGTCCACCACCTGGTTGATGAGCCGTTTCAGCTCAGGGGTCTGCTCGATCTTGGCACGCTCGGGGGCAGACATCAATGCCACTGTCCTCTTAACGAGGTCGGCGGGGAATATCCTTATGTCGGTCTTATACAGGTTCTGGAAGTCTAAGAGGGCATTGAGCAGCCTGCCCTGCACCAGCTGAATGAGCCCTCGGAGGTAGAAGTAGCGGGCCAGGAGCGCCGAGCTGTCCGGGCCCAGGAAGCTCATGGCCTTACTCAGGAGCTCGATGAAGTCAGTGTAGTATGCGTCCACACACTGAGTCACCAGCGGAAAGTGAATCTCTGGAATCTTGAACGTGTAGCTTGATTTAGGGGCCACATTCTGAGCTAAAAAATTAAGGGGAAAAAAAAATTAGCACAGAGCTTAAAAATAAACCCCAGCACGCGTCACTTCCCATTTACTGAGGCCCACGTGTTGTTCACGTCCTAACCCACTGCCACTGAGTCGATTCTGACTCGTAGCGACCCTGGAGGACAGAGTAGAACTGCTGCGTGGCGTTTCCAAGGCTGTGACTCTCTGCAGAAGCAGACTGCCACATCTTTCCCCTGCGGAGCTGCCGGTGGGTTCGAACGGCTGACCGCTTGGTTGGCAGCTGAGCGCTTTAACCGCTGCACCACCAGGGCTGCCTGTTCATGCCCTGGCTTGCAAAATAAAGCAAGAACCTGTTAGTCGTTATGCTAAGTGGAACAGCCAGACATAAAACACCACATATGTCGTTTATATAAAATGTTGAGAACAGGCACATGTACAGACAAAGCAGATCCCCGAGCGCCAGGGGCCGAGGCAGGGGTGGGGGTCTGGTTGATACCTGTGGATGAAATCCGATTGGCGGATGGGGTTTTCTTGGTTATGCTAATGAGGCCATATTAGCTAATGGGTGTGGGGTTTCTTTTGGGGGCAGTGAAAATGTCCTGCAACTAGGCAGTTCACAACACTGCCAACGTCCTTACCGTCATGCAATTGTACACTTCGAAATGGCTACAAGGGCCAATTTTGTTGTTATTGCTGTTTTAGCTGCCGTCCAGTTGGCCCCCAACCCAAGGCAACAATGCACAATGGAACAAAAGGCTGCCCAGTCTCGCACCCTCCTTGTGATGGGTTGTGGACTGGGCTACTGTGATCCATAGGGTTTTCACTGGCTGATTTTCAGAAGTAGATCACCAGGCCTTTCTTCCTAGTTCCTCTTAGTCTAGAAGTTCTGCTGAAATCTGTTCAGGATCATAGGGACACGCAAGCCCCCCCTGACAGACAGGTGGTGGCTGTACACGAGGTGCCCTGGCTGGGAATCGAACCCAGGTCTCCTCCCTGTAATGGGAGAATTCTACCACTGAACTTATTTTACCACAAAAAACACAAAAACACACAACAAACAAACACGTACAAACAAAGCAAGACTCGGGGTGCTGCCTCCGGACAGGGTCCCCGAGCCCCGAGGCTGAACAAGAGGCCCCCCATTTAGCTCCCATCGTACCTTTGTATCTGCTGAAACTATTAATACCACACTGAAACAGCTGGTGTGAGGCTTCCCTTGAGGGAAGCCAAGACGTACCCGCCAGGCAGGGCTCAGCCTTTGAAATCATGTCATTTATGTCACCAACAACCCGTGAGTATCATCATCCCCATTTATGGATGTGGAAACTGAGGCTCCCGGACCAGGTCACTTGCCCCAGGTACACAGTACTAAGTGCTAGAGGCAGAATTTAAACCAGGTATGTCTCACCAATCCCGTCAGCCAGTGTCACCCGAGGGCCTCCTGGGAGCTAAGCATTGGCTAAGCATTGTTTAGGCTTCAGAAAACGAGCCCCTACAGGTTGGAAGGCACTCAAAATACGACCGGGGAAGAGCTGCCTCCTCAAGTAGAGCTGACCTTAATGACGTGGATGGAGTCAAGTTTTCTGGACCTTCATTTGCTGATGTGGCACGACTCTAAAACGAGCAACAGCTGCAAATGTCCATTAATAATCGGAACGTGGAATGTATGAAGCATGAATCTAGGAAAACTAGAAGTTGTCAAAAATGAAACGGAACGCACAAACGTCGACATCGTAGGCATGAGTGAGCTGAAGTGGACTGGTACTAGCCATTTTGAATCGGACAATCATATGGTCTACTATGCCAGAATGACAGCTTGAAGAGGAATGGCATTGCATTCATTGTCAAAAAGAACATTTCCAGATCTATGCTGATGTCTAAGGCTGTCAGTGATGGGCTAATATCCACACGCCTACAAGGAAGACCAGTTAATACAACTATTATTCAAATTTATGCACCAACCGTTCAGACCGAAGATGAAGAAATTGAAGATTTTTACCGATTTCTGCGATCTGAAATTGATCAAACATGCAATCAAGATGCACTGACAATTACTGGTGATTGGAGTGTGAAAGTTGGAAACACAAAAGGACTGGTAATTGGAAAATATGGCCTTGGTGATAGAAATGATACCGGAGATTGCAAGACAGAATTCTGCAAGACTAACGACTTCTTCATTGCAAATACCTTTTTTCAACAACATAAACGTTGACTATACATGTGAACCTCACCAGATGGAATACACAGGACTCAAATCGACTACATCTGTGGAAGGAGATGATGGAAAAGCGCAACATCATCAATCAGAACAAGGCCAGGGGCCGACTGCGGAACAGACCATCAATTGCTCATACGCAAGTTCAAGCTGAAACTGAAAAAATTAAAACAAGTCCCTGAGAGCCAAAGTACGACCTTGAGTATATCCCACCTGAATTTAGAGACCATCTCAAGAATAGATTTGACAACGTGCAACACTAATGACCAAAGACAAGATGAATTGTTGAACGACATCAAGGACATCACACATGAAGAAAGCAAGAGGTCATTAAAAAGACAGGAAAGA